CAGCGCCCGAGGCTCCAGGAGGAAACCGAGGCGGCACAGGTGCTGGCTGACATGAGGGGGGTGGGAGTGGGCCCCGCGCTGCCCCCGCCACCGCCCTATGTCATTCTCGAGGAGGGGGGTATCCGCGCATACTTCACCCTGGGTGCTGGGTGTCCGGGCTGGGACCCTACCATCGAGTCAGGGTACGGGGAGGCGCCTCCTCCCACAGAGAGCCTGGAAACACTCCCTGCTTCTGAGGCCTCTGGGGGAAGCCTGGAAATCGACATTCAGGTTGTGGAGCCCGGCAGCCTTGCTGGAGAGAAGGTCCTAGAAACCTGTAGCTCAGGGGGGTGGGGGCCCCAAACATTAGTCGATCCAAAGAGCAGGGAAGAGGCTGTCATCATAGTGGAGGATGAGGATGAGGATGAGCAGGAAGGTCTGAGGAGCAGCAGGAGGAGGAGGCGGAGGAGGAGGAAGCAGAGAAAAGTGAAGAAGGAAAGCATAGAGAGGAATGCCCAGAGGATGGAGAGCATTCTGCAGGCACTGGAGGATATTCAACTGGACCTGGAGGCGGTGAACATCAAGGCAGGCAAGGCCTTCCTGCGTCTCAAGCGCAAGTTCATCCAGATGCGAAGACCCTTCCTGGAGCGCAGAGACCTCATTATCCAGCATATCCCCGGCTTCTGGGTCAAAGCAGTATCCTTCTCATCGATACTCATGGGTCAGAAGCCCATGACAGAAAAGGAGGAGGTGGGGGAAGGGACAGAAAGGATGAAAGGGTGTGAAGGAAGGCCAGAGATGGGGGTGAGCCCCCTATTGGCAAACTGGCTATGATAGGTGGAGGAGGGATGGAAGGAGGAGGGCAAAACAACAGAGAAGCTGGACTGGAGGTGATGGGGGGGCACATAGCATAAAAACTGGACCACAGATGGGAAGAGGGTAGAGGAGGAGCATAGCATAAGGAAAATAATCACAGATGATGAAAGGGGGAGGAAATTCAAGGGGTACACGGCATAAAAATTGGACCAGAGATGATGAAAGGGGGAGGGGAGGGGCACACAGAAGATGAACTGACTCAGAGAGTGAGGAGTGATGGTAATGGCCAAAGCAGAGAAACTGCCCAGAAAGGGTGCCTAAGCCGAACCAGGGCTCTATAAGCCTAGGTCTCTGTTTAGACACTAAGAGACCCCAATTTTGGCTGGAGTGCCCTGCATTGGAGGGAAGGGGGCTAGAGAGGGGCTTATCCTGAAAGATCAGGAGAGGGAGTATCTGAGTATGAAGATTAAGGAGTTAAACGAAGGAAAGGGGAGAGTAGGAAGAATCCTATTTAGCGATGGTGATTGTTAAGCTCATCTCGGGAGGACACATACATACATGTAACATGTTAGGAACACATGATTTTCATCCTAACACAGTTACAAGACAGACCCTTGGCATCCTCATACAAGATAGCACATGTATGTGCCCACAGCACCCAGGCACACAGTATCATGTAGACACAGGGCCTCAGCACACAGATACAGTACTACGTGGCCACAGGCCTCAGCACGCAGACACATAGCATCGCTTGGACACAAAGCCCTCAGAGCCAGTCACACATCATATTTACACACTCTCAACACCCACGCATACATATCATATGACCACAAGACCCAGAGACAAACATCACATGGACATAAACCCTTAGCAACCCCCTTAGCAACCAGATACAGCATCACTTAGACATGGGCCTTCAGCCCCCCCCGACTCACAGCGTTTTGTGAACGCAAGCCCTCAGCACCCAGAGACAAACATCACATGGACATAAACCCTTAGCAACCTAGCAACCAGATTCAGCATCACTTAGACATGGGCCTTCAGCCCCCCCCCCGACTCATAGCATTTTGTGAACGCAAGCCCTCAGCACCCAGAGACAAACATCACATGGACATAAACCCTTAGCAACCCCCTTAGCAACCAGATACAGCATCACTTAGACATGGGCCTTCAGCTCCCCTGACTCACAGTATTTTGTGAACGCAAGCCCTCAGCACCCAGAGACAAACATCACATGGACATAAACCCTTAGCATCCATCAAGGCCACCTAACACAGAGGTTTACCATGGGAGTAAAAGTATACATTGAGTCCCTATAACCCATTTGCTCCATACACATCACATGAACACAGAAGGAATCCTGCTCCAGCCTCTCTTTTGCTCTGCCCTGCCTGGCCTTCCCTCCCTTCCTTTCACTGAATAGTCAATCCTTGACCTAAACTGCTCCACTCATCAGTTCCTCAACCACCCCAGAATTTCAATCTTGATCAACCAACGCGATGAAGACATTTTCCGCTACTTGACCAACCTGCAGGTCAGACCAAAGAGAGATTTTTGAGAAGAACTGGGCAAGGAGTCTGGTCTTTGGAGTTCATGGTAAGGGGTGGGAAGGGCCATGGTATGGGGACACATTCCACCATCACCCTCACCCTGAGCAGGTACAGGATCTTCGACATATCTCCATGGGCTACAAAATGAAGCTGTACTTCCAGACAAACC